CAGCCTCAATTTGGCAAATGGAATTGTGGCTAGATTCACTCCACAACTCGCGAATAAGTCTCTTTCACTATGTTTTCTGATTGGGGAGTGGGAATGTCGTGGTTTACCCAATTTTTTTCATGAAAGTCAACTAGCATCGTGACATGACTTTTCATTTCCGAGTTAGTTAAAAATAAATTGTCAATTGGTCTAATCGGACAGTGAGAGAGGACTTCCTCCAACCAACTGTCTCTTAGACCGGAAAAGCCATGTCACACTACATGACTCACGAATTCCTTAAAATCCAGTTTTTCTTCTCATTTACGAAATCAACTATCAGCCCTTACAGACTCTAAATAGTGTAAAATGATCAAGAGACAAGTCACCCTAGGTCCTTTCAGGTGATTTTAGGTACCGCTAGTTGACTTTTTCCATAATGAGAAGAGTAGGACTAGCAATAACATTGAATTTCACTTGGTCTCGACTCCCAAAAGGCTAAATAAAATTAATTGATAATATGTGGCCTATTCATTTCATTATATGAAAACTTAAACTCACCTTAAACTATCTGCGGTGACTTATCTCTTATTCACAAACAACTGATAATTATATCCACTCCAAAAATGAGAATTTGGAGAGGCCTAATTTGTCTTGGTTGTCGCACCTGTTGGTGTATGGCCGATTGGTAGCGCTTCTCCACTTTACCCACACAGCTTGGTCTCCAATCTTGTTTGGCAGTTCTGCCATGTTGCGAAAACCCTTTTGGGAGGCAAGAAGGAGTACCATTCGGTGTCATCGTTAGGCTTTCTATTCATTTAATTTCGGTTAACTATCAGTCCTTGCATCTCTTTCACTGATCTAGGCTGACTCGAGTTCTTATCAGATTCGTTGGCGACATTTCATGCAAATGTACCCTTTATTTCGAATAAAAAGCTGGTTAGAAAAGATTCGTGATTGCGCCCCATTTTGAGCCGTTTGAACTGTTGGTTCAGGCTCAGATGATGGTCTTGTTTGTTGACACTATATTTTGCGGCAGATCAGACGGGGTGATTGGGATCGCAGGTCTCGATTTACGCATGCATCAACTAACCCCACTGAAATGCGCTCCTCTGACTTGCGAATAGGCAGATTTATGAAGGTTGTTTATCCGCCACTTTTAACGATGACATTAATTATTGAGGGATTCTTCGGAACCCACTTTAAGAGTCAAGAGAAGAGGGCAAATTGAAGCTACACTTATTTTTACCTTGTAAATTCATTCAATTTATTTTTCCTTCACTCTACAGATCTTCGCTTATCATGGCTTGCCTGGCATGGGCTTCAGTTTTCACAATCCGCTCCACTCGGGTCGTCCCCCTTCCTCTTCCTCCTCTCTGGCTGCGAACGCTTCCGGTTCGCCTGGCCATCCTGTGGACTACATGTCCGTGCCAGGACATGCCGATCTTCGTTCGCTGCCGCAACTGCCCATCTGCCCGAAACTCTGTAGATCGACCCTTGACTCGGTTGCTCCTTCGAGTCCCATTTTGACCTCACCAATACTGCCGCAACAGCTACCACCACAACCGCAGTCACAGTCACAGTCGCATCAATCGGTTTCATGGAATTTCGTCGGTTTCCCATCACCCGGTACTGAAGACTATTTGGAGCCGAAACCGCGATCGCATCTTCATGCTCTCTCCTGTCCTGTGTCTTCATCTCCTGCCGTTTCTAACGGAAGTTTAGACTCCAGCAAAAGTGCCCTTGTTGCATCATCTGCCCTTCACACGCCAGCCAAGTTGGCAGTGATGATGACTGCACATGATGATCATTGCAATGGCTATAATGATAATTCTTGTCCTCCCATCATGATTACTGGCCACATTAACGTAATGGGGCACAATGAGCCTGTTCCTGTTGGATCAAGACTTCCCGTCATTGCACCGGTTCAGATGCCCAATTTCCCCACGCCAGATCGTCTTGCACTTCCTTGTACGTCTTTTGCGTAGTCATTGAGGCTCCGAAAAACGAGTTTCCAGTGTTGTTTTCGGCTTCTTTATTCTATTTTGATTATTTAATTCTCATTTAAAGCTTGGAAGATAACGAATTTGTTGAGTCGATAGAATGTAGCCTCGCAGTAATTATAGCGTCCCGTCATCCTCCAGTCTCATGAATGAGATCACCTTAACCTTATTTGGTCATTTGACTAATTTTTTCATTTATCTAATCACCATTTAAGCAGATACCGATGGAATAATAAAGCATCGCTCTCTCGGCCAATCCTATCCTGCCTCCTCATTCAGTGCATTTTTTGTACCGTCGATTGTAATTGAAATTACAAGTTCACCCGGTTGGCAAAAGTCTCATTATAAAATATTAATTGTCTGAAGGTAACATTCCTCATTTTGCCCAACTAACCTCGGAGTTGTGTGGTGGACTAGGAAGATTTTACCTTTTGGGCATACTTTTGGGGATCAGAAAATGTCGAAATTGCAATCAATTTTGGATTTAAATTCGCATAACCTTCCTTATTCGCAGATATGAAGACAATTTGCTGTATAAAAGTAAATTTGCGACGATCCTGTCTTTAGGAAGTCTTTCGCCAAAATAGGCATTATGATTCCCAGCCTACCAAGACGTCGCTGATCCGATTCTGGAAAGTATCACGACTACTGTGCTAGAGGCCTCCTCTCAAGATGCGTTCATCTGGGTCCCCCTGACAACACGATCATGTTGGCATCTCAGTCAGTTCATGCCTTAATTATTTGCAGGAGTCATGGAATGCCTCCGGATTTGACCTATTGCTGTATGGACTTCCATTTCGTAGGATAGTGCTTGAAGAAGAGATTCGTAGATCGATCTCATCAGAGACATCTTTCCTCCTTTCGAAACGAATGAGGATGTCTCGTGGACTGCATCAGTCTGAACGTCAAATGGCCGGAGTACAACGGGAATTAGCTGTACTCTTCTGGTAAACTCAATCTATGAATCTTTCATCATGCACTTTCGTATGAAATTGAAGTCTCCACAGCAATGCCAGCCCGGGAGATTGATCGAAACCTGTCATTCCTTTGAATAAATCACCTTGATGTGGAATCATTCACGCAACATTCGACATGATAGTGTAGCTTATTGTTAGGGGGACCTTCATTTCGAATGAAAGTACATGATGAAGAGATTCGTTTGTCGATCTCACAAGATGAGGACGGATGAAA